GGATTGGAAGCAAGCTAGCAGTCGTAGGAATGATGTGGGAAGGCGGAGGTATCTCGACAAGTCGAGCCGTCGAGCGATGTCAGGTTCGACTTTTGCGCGAATAATCAACGGCTAGCGGAAAAGCCAGGTCGTCGAAGTCGATCGAGTGGTGGGAGATTTCTCGGTCGCGGCTCGTGCCGTCGGTTTCTGAGGGCCGTTCGGTGGTGTGGAAGGGAGATTTGTTGACCACTAGGCCAGATTGAAGAGTGACGCGTAAAAAATCGGAAAAGGGGGCGTTGATGGCAGTTGTCCTAGGTCGTTGGATGCTTGAGGCTGATGTCACCCCGTGAAATTTGCCAATTAGCGTCTTGCATTGGGAGAACCAAGGACCTATGGGCGCTTTGTCCAGCTGTCGCACCCCTGTAATGAGCGATAAGGGAGGATCAGTACCCCCGCGCGCCCCTCTATTCGGCCGGCATCCTAACACCACCTGCGCACCAGATGGCTGTCGCGTGTACTTGCGACAAGCACTTCTACAACGCGTCTCCTGACGATGCCGACAGATTAGCTCAATGCCGACACATGGCCCCCTGTTTCTCATGATCTGACCTTGAAATCCTTCGCCTGGCTACTTCCGACGACAAACAATGACATTCGCTGCAAAGCTCGGCGCCTTGACCGACGAGCTGGTTGAGGTCATCATCACATCGACACCGGACAAGGTGGGAGACGGTTCATCCCATCTTGCATGGGCATACACAATGCAATGCAGCTCGGCCCGTCGCTAACACCAACGGCAGCACATCAGTCGAGAGCGCTTCAATTTATTGCGCGAGTCTTCGCATCGCAGTCTCAAGCATCACAACTTCCTGCGCACCAATCAATTCGACATTGACAAGCAGCTTGTCGGCCTGGAGGAGCGATTTAGGGTCCACCATCGTGAAGGCTTGGCAGATGCCTTCAAGGAGCGGCTCGATGCGTTATCAGAATTCCGAACGAAGTGGCACCCTGACATACTTCATTTTCTCCTCGAGCTTTCCGATAAGCCAACACAGAAAACCCGACTTGGCGACCTAGAACTCCTTCGAGAGCCCGAAAAAGACCTCGAACCGCCGCTTAGATGGGAAGACATCGCGAAAGAGGATAGATGGCACGAGGAAGCTGAGATATGGAACACCATTGACTACAGCGATCACTCTGGCGATGAATATGGCGAGGCTAAGTCAGATACATCAAGTGTATCTGGTGAGACATCTCTCTCAACTCTGGATACATCAGTTGGCCGGAGACCGGAGGCTTTCGAGATTGCCTCGTCTGACGAGGCAGCCCTCAAGGTTGTTCAGGATAGCCAGGCTTGGAGGGTGAAAGGCAAGAAGACTGCGTCTTCAGCCCGACCGCAAAAGGTCGCCATCACAGAGTTCCAGGCGATGAGAGAGGCCCTCTTCATGTTACAAGGCCTACCCACGACATTGTTCCAGAAAGATGGTCTTGCCGACCCGGCTTACCAGATATCCAGTCTTGAATGGGATACACACAAAGCCCTTGTGAGCAGCTTCGCGGAAAGCGGGCGCCAAGTTTCCCAAATACGAACTTTTTCGAAGAGATCCCAAACAGCGCCTCTCTTTCAGGTTTTCCGTGACAATGTCATTGCCTGTCTGCAATCCTTTGACGAAAGGTTATCCAATATCCAGAGTAGTCTGGCAGTGGCGCGGGAAGATACAGTCATCAGCATGGCAGCAGTCCTGGAGGAACTCAGACCAAGGATGGAACCTTTAGTATCTCTCTCAGAGATTATAAGGCAGCTTTACGATCCTGCGAATGGTGGAGCGTTCCGCTTTCTCGAGCTTGTCTACGATGAAATTAGCAGAGCCCAGCTCTCAGGTCGCGATTCGACTTATGACTTCCTAGGACGCATATTCTTCAACTGTTTTCAAGTCTATCTCCGACCAATTCGACTTTGGATGTCAGAGGGGCAACTCGTGCCAGGCGATAAGATCTTCTTCGTGTCTGAGTCGCCAACCCAGGTTCCGCTGCGTCAGGTCTGGCAAGAACAATTCAAAATGAGACGAACATCAGAAGGGGTCTTGCATGCGCCCAGCTTCCTGCAGCCAAGTGTTGGTAAAATCTTCACGGCTGGGAAAAGTATTGTTGTTCTCAAACATCTTGGAAAATTTGATGCACTTCGTCAACTCTGGGATGATCACGAACCCCCTCTAACATTCGAAGCGGTCTGCCCGCCGGGCCTGGAACTTGCACCATTCCCCGAACTATTCACATCGGCCTTCACTCTATGGATGCAGAGCAAATATCATGCGACCTCGGAAACTCTGAAACAGGCGCTCTTTGATTCTTGCAACCTAGAGTCGAATATTGGCGCACTGCATCACCTCTTTCTCATGGCTGATGGAGCTGCGGCTGATGAATTCTGCAAAGGCATTTTCGCCCGGCTAGACGCCCTCAGGCCCGATTGGCATGACCGATACTCCTTGACTGGTTTGGCTCAGGAGGCATTTTCGCCACGAGTTGATACCACCCGCCTCTTTGTCACTGTCCGGATCGAAGGCCAAAAGAAATCTGTTGTCGCTGGTCGCGATCTCATCCGTACGGCCTTGCCAGAAATCACCCTCCAGTACCGTCTTCCCTGGCCAGTGCAGCTCGTTGTCACCGAAGACACAGCTGCCCAATACCAAGCAGTTTTCACATTTCTCATGCAAATCAGACGCGCCATCGGCCTCATCCAACGCAACCGGATCCTCGAAGAGCTTGCTTCGAGAAGCGATGTATGGGGTAGCAAAGCGCTGTACTACCTGCTCCGCTCGAAGTTGATGTGGTTTTGTAACTGCATCCAGACATACCTGGCAACGCTGGTTCTAGCTCCTTACACAGAATCCCTCCGCTGGAAAATGCGAGAGGCCTATGATGTAGATGCCATGATCAGGCTTCACGAAGCCTTCGTGAAGCAAGTTATCGACGCTGCATGTCTCGGCAGAAAACTGGATCCCATACGCAGTGGCATCCTGGACATCATGGACCTAGCCGCGAAACTCGAGGACGCACAAAGCGCTAGCGTCGCCGAGGAGGCTGAGGAACAACAGGAGCTATCTCGTCTTTCCATCATGTCCTCGCCGATGAAAGCGAGTCCCCGCCGTCGAAAACCGGCTGTCTACGCCGAAGACAGTGACGACGAAGGTGCGGAGCGTCTCGGGACCAGAACCAAAAGGGGTGCAATTAATGCAGGCAAGGGCTACCTAGAATGCTTGCGGGAGATTAAGACGGACTTTGAGAGGCACCTAAAGTTCATTTGTGGGGGGCTACGAGGGGTTGCCAGGGCCTCAAGCGACGAGGCGGCTGTGAAATGGGACCTCCTGGCTGAAATGCTGGAGGTGGGTGTCAAGGAGGGCGCTTGAAGGCTTTGCCAAGTTGGTAGGGGACGGCTGGCAGCATTGAGAACTTGGTCGTGGAGACCCGCAAAACCATTAGAGTTTACAGAATTCCGGAAAAGGATAGGGATCGACATGGGATTCCTTGATTCCCATACTCCTGTCAAACCGCCGGGCCAACGCCAACTCATTCCCACTGCAGATGGGTCCTGCAGCAGATTGAAATTATTGGAATCCTGCAGAGATGATCAAGTTGACTTGGTGGGCGGTCAAGAGCAACATGAGACGATGCTCGGTAAGTGCCGCCAGGACACGAGGTTTACTGAACCGTATCGTGCGATGCCTCGACAATACCTTACAGCAGACTTGAGCTTCAACCCACTTCTCCTAGGTGTTGCATCTGATGAGCTGATTCGATCACTGAGGTAGTCTACCTTAGTTGGCTGTGGTCCCTGAAAAAGAGAGAACATCGTTCGCATAAAGGTGTGCTAGGCTGCTAGTGTGGTGATTCATGATTGCTAGCGTAGACCCTTGGAGTCGCAACCACGAGACTGCTCGTGCCGGAACCGACGGGAATCACAACACCACGACGGTGTTCACGATGCCGCCCGACGTACTTGTACGTCTCTCCGGCGGTATCGAGGCATTATGGACTTCGTGCCCCTGCCCGCCAGGGGACGGGGTTCACTGATGCCAACTTTTCGCTCTCCAGACAGCCTCGAACCTTGGAACGAGCAAGATCGACGGTGGGGCCCAACGGTTGTGACCGGAAGCCAGGGGTCCCTTACAACGATTTTGGGACCAGAGGGGGTGTGAGTGTGTTGTTGTCGACGCCGACTAAGGCGCCGCCTGGCGAGCGGGTGAAAGACCTGCCGACATGTAACGTCTCTTTATGTACTCTGTAGACGTGCCCCCGCGCGTTTCCCTTGCGGAAGTCCATGATCCGTCTACGGTGGCCGTCCACGATTTGAGTTGAGTGTTGCGTTGGTGCCCGAGAGTATCCGTAAGAGCAAGGAACTGGGAAAGAGAGCCCAACTCGGGAAATTGAAGCTCAAGCCAGGGTGCTCGTGATCAGTTCTAGACTCTGCTGGAAGGTGGACCTTGGTTCTACACGTGAAGACAGGGAAAGTTGTTCTCGCGGGTTTGCTGAGGCTCGTCAGCGGTTGTTTCCGAGAACTTCACACGTTCTTTCAGGGCTGGCAGCATGATCTTGGCCGGTCTTTGGAGTAATCCATTTCTAGTCGAGTAGCCAAGAACTAATAACAGCAAAGTATAGCCTGAAACCTCCTCGTTCGTGATCATGGAAATGGCCTTTTAGAAGCACCTCACGAATGAGTTGAAGGTACTGGTGCCTTCATGAGACTCTTGGCAGGAATGGTCACATGTGAAACGGTTTGAAAGAAACGGAAGTTGAATGTTTGTGCGAACATGACCGTAATCAGTAACCGGGTGTTTTGTTTCGCCGGCTTCCCGAAACGGCACGGTGCCCCACCATCAGTGACATCCGCCACAGCTGCACGGTTTGCCTGCGAGATATCAACACCTCCAAAAACTTTAACGACAACCTCGCTTTCACCCACAATTGCGCCTACCGAACCCGAATCTATCGTCGCATAACCTTGCGGAAGCCCATCGTTCAAAATGTCTGAACGCAAAGTGCTCCAGAAGTACTACCCCCCGGATTTCGATCCCTCCGCCCTCACGCGTAAGCGCGGTCCCAAGCAGACCGGCCCTAAGGTCCAGACCGTCCGCATCATGGCGCCCTTTTCGATGAAGTGCACGACGTGCGGAGAATACATCTACAAGGGCCGCAAATTCAACTCCAGAAAGGAGACGAACCAAGCAGAGCGATATCTCAACATCCAGATTCACCGCTTTTACCTGAAGTGCACGCGGTGCTCGGCGGAAATCATCATCAGGACCGACCCCAAGATCGCCGACTACGCCGTAATCAAGGGCGCGATACGGAACATGGAACCCTGGCGCAACAAGGAGGGCGAGAAGGAGAGCGTCGACGAGAGGCTGGACCGGTTGGAGCGCGAGGAGGCTGAAGCCGCGGGCGAGGAGGAGAAGAACGCGATGGCGGACCTGGAAGCCAAGAACGAGGACGCGAGGCTGGAGATGGCTGCCGCGGACGCGCTCGACGAGATCCGCCAGCGCAACGCGCGCATCCAGCGGTCTGAAAAGGATGGCGTGGATTTCTCCGAGTACGTCGTCAGGCCCGAGGACGAGGAGAGGGCGAGGCAAGAGAAGGAGGACGAGGAGGCTGCGCGGAAGGCTTTCGCCGCTGCGAGGGAGAGGCTTGGAGAGGAGATTATCGACGACGATGAGTTTGACGGAGGGGTCATTGGTGGACCATCAGCAACCACATCCTCCTCATTATTGGCGGTGGCAGCGTCATCCTCAATGTCAGGGGAAAAGTCGGAGACTGCTGCACCGGCGGGGACCGTGAGGGATACTTCAATGATGCCGCCGCCGCCGCCTCCCGCCAAACGCGTGGTGAAGAAGAAGAAGGATTACTCTGCGGCGCTTGGCATCAAAAAGAAGCCTTCACTGGTCTGAGAGTTGTGTGCCATATGGGAATACAAGCCAGGGCGTGGCTGCAGCAATGTTTGTTCTCGTTTCTTCCCCCTGACTCTTTGTCGCTGCCCACCTGCATCATCGCGCAGGGGAAATGGAGAGCAGCTGCACGTCATCTGTCTCTTTATATCATGAATAGGGCTGTTATTGTACTTGGTGGTAAACTTTAATTTTTGGGCATGGCGTTTCGGAAAACGGAGATTTACCGCACAGACTCTTTTCTGCAGGGTACATAATCAAGGCATTGGGTGGACAGACGGTTGATGGCGTAAGGGTACACGTACAAGGACAATGTACGGAGTAGGTACTAGACGAATATTGAGCGATCAAAGGCAACACCGACAGAAGGGGTCGAAGCCCACCCCCATTCCCCGCCTCTCGTTCTATCTCCCTTTGACTTTTCATTTTTCGGACGATGAATACCTAGCGATATAATTAAACTCTAGCCATCCAGCATTGTTGAGACGTCACTTTCGACCGTTCCCCCTCCTTCTCTCGCTTTGTACGTCGCACTATTTTGTCCTTTGCTGTGTTCTAGATGTTCCTGGGTTGTCTGTGCTTTTTTTTCTTTTGCACAAGCTCCACTGTCGATCTTCCACCTTGACAGGTCCAGCGCTGCGAAAGCCGATGCGTATGTGTGCGTGCCCGCGCATGTTCGCGTTTGTGTGTTGAGCTTGTGAATAGACTCCAAGGTTCGGTAATGCAACCGACCTCTTGGCTCTCTCTCTCTCTCTCCCTCTCTCTCTCTTTCTCTGTGGGTTTCTTCTTTAATTGCGCGATTCAGAGTTTGGGTGTCTGGATCGCGTCGATCGTAGCAGGGTTGGTGGCTCCAAGTAGAGATGGAAAGGATGGCCGCCCTTTTAGGGAGTATCTGCTGGAAGTGGTCGCAAGTCCTAGATTGTGGAGGGATGGTGGAGGAGTATTATCATCGGAAGCGAGGGATATATGAGAAGTAATCGTAGTATGTTGTTTTGCAGTACCCCGCAGGATTGGTTATGACTTTACTATGGTGTGCAGATATGTATTGATCGTATGCTAACTGGGCTTTGTGACATATGCGCATCAAAAGAGTTGTGAGCAGTTTCGGGTAAGGTCAGGTATGTGGTATAGAGATAATGAGACATCACAAGGGAGCAAAGTTGTAAGTTTTTGTAGCGATTGTAATGATTTATTCGTTCTTATCATAATCATGGATGATCACCCTCGACATCACGGGGTGAAGCTGCCCGATAACCATCAAACCACCAACGCCTGAGGGTTTCCCCTTATAAACAATACCCGCCATCTTAAAGCAAACTCTTTCGCGCCAAATGCTAATATTGCCAGATTCTGATTCCATCGCGCTAATATCGTGCTAGACCGAGTTGATTCTGTTGTCTGCTCTTCGCAGTCGCTGAAAAGAGGCTCTCAAGCCGATAAAAAGACCGGTGTGATAAGCCGAAGACCCGGTGAAAAGGATCAATGAATGGAGTAGCCATTACGATGTATCAAAAATGATTTAATACGATGAATCGTGGCTGGATGAGGAGTGGTGAGAGTTGTGAGGGTAACTCGTGCGGCCGCCGGATCTTCTCGTAGAGGAGCGGTTGGCAGCCTCCATCTGGCGCTTGGTGTGCTGGTGCATCGAGCGCATGTAGGTGGAGAGATCTGATGGAGGAGGAGGAGAGACAGGGATGGAGACGGAGTAGGCGTCTTGGCGAGCGGGCATGGTGGAAGGGCTCATGGAGGCGATTTAGATACAATATGTGGTGTTGTTGGAAAGTAAGCCGCTGATGAGAGGCTTAAGGCGTGTGAGGAGTAGTTGTTGGTTGGTAGATTGCTTCCGGTAGTTGGATGTGATGGAAGCGTTAGGTAGATATAGAAATTTGTAGATGTATTTAAGAACGGTGTGAAGTTGTTGTTATTGAAGCTGGGTGCTGATGAAACGGAATTCAAAATACGGTGGTTGGCAGGAAAGGTCCTGGGTTTATAAAAGAAAATAAGAGGGGCGAAAAGGCTCGCTGCAAGGCTTGTCGTGGAGAAGAGGTGAACACAGACGTAGGGAAAGTTGGGCAGGACGGGGTCGTGTGTGTGGTGGTGGTGAGCAGCACGTCGCCCATCAGGCAAAACACAGGGTCCTCCGTCACTAGCGGATGTTGCAAGCTATGGGACCTACGCTAAGGTATACCCCCCTCCCTTTTTCTCAAGGGTCGAGGGGGAGGGGGTCTGAGTGTGGGAAGAGACGAGATTGAGCAGCGCAGAGTAGAGCAACTTGCCCACGCACAGAGAGTGAGAGAGAAAAGCAGGCACCGTTCCTTCCTCTTCACCCCCTCATCCCTCCCACTCAGCAAAGAGGAGCTGCTGCATATCCCGCCTACACTCAATTCGCTAGGGATCGGCAGTGATTGACGGCGTCTTAGCGTTCTGCTGTACCCCCGGGTGAGGCCTGCACGATATGGCGTAACTGGGCCGGGGGTCGAGGCGCAAGGGGCCAATCAAGCAGACCTCGCCCACTGCTGGGTTTATTGCCACGGACAGGGCTGATGATGCAGTAAGCGGTACGGTGATACACTGCAGGCCACAAGAGAGGTGGTTTGCGGGTGCGGGAGGTGGCCGAGAACGGAAAGACCCTGCTGATCAGTTGTCCACACCGAAAGTCACCGGGCATGTCTACCGGTACCTACTGGCCACACATTCTCACGCGTACCTACGGAGCACAGCTTGTTCCTCTCTGCCTTTCGCGCTTCTTTGGAGTAGCTGTCGACATGTCAAAATACCTGTCCCCCGAATCTCGGACAAAGACAGCGACGATCAGTCCCCTCTCCATTTCGCTTTCCTACCCTTGGAGGTTCTGGACCGGCGGACGGGGCGTGGAGCTGGACGGGAGACCCTGAGAAAAAGAGGCTTGAGGGGTTTCTGATCCATGTCCCATCAATACGTCGAGATAGACATGGCCAGACTGCAAGCGAATAGGATTGTCTCGAACATCGTGCCCATCCTGACGCCAAAGGCTCAAAGGTGTGTTGGACCCTTGATTTTTTGGCCACCCCATGACCTTACAGGAGGACGGCATTATCGAAAGCTTGAAACCTCCCCCAACTCTGATGGAGGGTCGGCATGTTCGTTGTACGATTGTGCTGCCACAGCTGCATGATACGTCTATCTCATCCAGGTCCAGGGGAAGCAAGCAAGCTCACGGTTAGGTCGCCATCCACAAGCAAGCAGCTTGCGCGAACGAACGACGATGAGGGTTCAGTCCGGGGGGTCACAAGCCAGCCAAAAAGAAGCGTGTTCACATTAAAGACAGGCGCTACTGGCACTTGACCAGAGCTTCCCTAGTCAATAGGTCAATGACGGGAAAGAGATGGGTGGTAGTAAGTCTTGTCTTGTTTAGAGTAGCAGGAATGTGGTGTAAGGGAAGTGAAAGGTTGGCAACGGCGCGGCCAAGCAGTAGCCAAGCAAGACTTGTCGTCAAAGATCGGCGGGTGGAGCAGACGTCATTGGCCGAAGCGTCTGCGTCGGCCGGACCCCGGGTGTGGACGTTGCTGTCAGTGGGTCCGTCCAGTGTCCCACCTTCCTTCTTTTTTGCCCTGGTCGTCCGCCGTCGCCCTCAACCTTTCGGGCAGTGGAGACTTCACCTTTCACCACTACTATGTGCAACTTGGCGTCCCTGGTCTGTGCCTGGGCGCGGACACCATGCCGTCAAGGCAGAAGGCACGGATCCCAAACAAGAGTGTGGAAGGCTAGCCGCCAAATCTGAAGCCATTCGGCAACTTTTTGGAACTGCTACCTCCCGGGTCCCCACCGTCTTTGAGGGCTATCATTGGTTTGATCCTCGTGTTAGTGGGAATACTGTCCAGATCGTGACCACCTTGCCCAAGGGCCAGGAACGTACCTGTAGGAAATTCCCATGATGCCCTCATGCCCACCATCCTCCGTCGGCATGGGAATTTGAGAAATTTGCCATGGCGGGGAGACTGACTTCGGCACTCTTGGGCCTCAATTTCCCATTCCCCCCTCCCCTAAGAAATGATGAGGATGGGAATTGCCCCCTTCTCCCCCCTTCGGTGGCAACCCTATTCAGCAGAGGCCTCTGCGCTGATTCTCATGATTCCCGTGTCAGGGGCATCTTGACGTGCGGCTTGCCCCATCACGCCCTCCCGCACTTGACCTGGTCCCACCGGATCTAGCCCATGCCGAAGCTATTCAGAGTTGAACACTGAGCCAGCAAGATGCCAAGACCAGCAACAGGGAAGCTTTGAACAAATTTCGGCCCTCGACATCACGGAGCCGGGTCACGGAGGAGCAGACAAGGTTCATTGTACCGTAGGCCGCATTCGGTCTTGATCTGACCCTCACCGAGAAATTGGAGACGTTTCTCTTCGGGTGAGAGATTTACCAGGACGTCAGGGGTCTGCAAACTAAAGCTCCGATATACGCTGGGGTTGAAAGGCCGGGGAGATCTGACAAGAAAGAAAACACACTTTGTCGCTAAAGGAAAGCAACCGAAACGGCGGGTTTGCGCGTTTGGAAGCTATGTAATGGCCCAGAACCTCATTGGAGCATAATTGGCCTCTCTCGACCGTGGCGAGACAGTTGTGACGGAAGGTACGCGATACGCAGTAAACCGTAACGTAAGATAGATGGCCGGGGGGATCGCGAGAAGGGATGGATGCTCTCAGGGGGGGATGGAGGATGGGCCATGGATGGATGCATGTGGCCAGGACGTATCCGTTGCGGCGGATAGACCTCGAACCGGCCGTAGCTTGTACGAATAGTGGGAGTGCATCCGTAGGTAGACTACAGAAATTCAGACTTTGGGGCTGGCTGGATGGGACACACAGACGTCAAGGCTGACGGAAGGCAGCTCGTCCTTCCTCTCAGTTTGTTCGGCCTTGCCTCAGTTTACGTCGTTGGAGCTGTTTGGAGGTTGGTGTGTCGTCAGGTCTTGCCAATCAAGTCTCGTGTGAAGTCACGCTGCGCCACTAACCCGGCGCCCTATGATGTCACTCGCTGCTCTTTTTCTCACCCTGGCCCGACGGTCGGATCCCCCCCTGCTTTTCGCTTTAGTTAACCAATCAAAACGTTGGAGCGAGCGTTTTCTTCCATTTTCTCCCCTTCCTCCCTGGTAACGTTTTGACAAGCTGCTCCGTCACACACACCACAAACACGCCCCCCTTTCCCCCAAAAGGCTCAAACGCTGGTCCATTCCGTCACAGGAAGGAATGATACGCGCGACGACCTCATAGCACCACAGACAGCACCACAACTTACGTCTTTCTACGTCTCTTTACGTCGACAGCCCGCTTAGACCGAGTTCCACGAGGCAGAGAGAAACCCTCTTCTCTCTCAGATCTTCAAAGATTTGCACGTTTGCTAGCTAGAATGCGGCTCTCGTCTCGCTTCGCTCGAGCATTGCTGCATTGTCTGTCATGCACACCTAGCTGCTATTAGAGCTAGATTCTTTTTTTTTTTCCCCTCTCTTCGCATCACCCCTTGCCACAGCTTCTCTCATCATCGTGCGACCCTTACGACGGCTGACAATGAAGAAAAAAAGCCTCCCGTCTATACTATGGGGGCACCCATGAAGCAGTTCCCGCCACCTGCATCATACCATGACTACCCACACTCTCTATGAGCTCCCCTCAGCCTCGAATGGAGACACAGGCCCGCGCCAAGGTTCCAGACCCTGACTCTTGTCTGACCCGGACCACAAGAAAGAAGGAGAGCTCACATACCTCAAAGTGATATGAACGAAACTGTTTCTTTGCGCGTCCGCCAAAGGTATGCCATCACACGTGATGACGCCATGCCTCTCACCTCACCTCATCTCTACCGGCCGCTATGCCCGAAGAGCTGGCACACACAATCAGATCTCAATCCTCCTACTTTGGGCGGATGGTCGTCTGTGACAGCATACCGGTACTCAACGACGACCCCTGAATTACAGCTGGCAAATATGTACTAGCTAGGAGGGTTGCTTTCGCCCCTGCGTCCTCAACTCTCGGCCACGGTAGGAGCCGTCCCAACGGCTGGACCACGCAGTATGATCAAATGGCCCGCATAATGACATCGATCTCGCCTGCGATGGGCCCTTGATGGAGGCTGAGGGGTCGTGGAGGTCTGGGGAAACATCCTCTGAAACGTCATGAATGATGTTATACTACCTCTAGAGAATGGTTCCCAACCGGACATCTATGGCTTCCTCTACGCCTGAGAGAGTTGTCGGCCGACGCCTCGTCCACAATGATGAGCCCCGACCTCGAGTCCCCGATCCACCGTGAGAGTATCAAGGTCCACGTACCCTCAAACTTAGCGATGATAGTCCTAGGCTCGAGCATCACTGAACCGCCTGATTGGGGCCAGAGAAGATAGCAGCACGCCGAGTCCTCTTCTTCTACTGCTCCCTTTGATCCCCAAAACCTCTCTGACCGTCCCGGTGCCTTCCCCCGCCACTCTACGGCACCTCTGCGTCCGAATTTACTGGGGCCCAAGGGGTTTGAACTTGTCACCCAACGGGATCCTCGCCGCTAACCGTCCCAGTAATGATTGGCTGTCGCTGAGCTCTTCGGCGATCCTCCGTCATCCTGACGGCCTTTCCGACTCCTCAGGCGCGACCCTCTCTGCGATATCGAAGCTTGCTCGTTAACTACGGGACTCGGGTAGAGTTTGGGCAGGCATCGAACACCGAGCGTCTTTTACATCTCAATACTGAACATCGAGATCGAGATACGGCTGCGGTCCAAGTAGGGTTGTATGGTCGATGTGCGTGTTTCGCAGCAAAAGGGGTCTGTGGCGGTTGACTCGTCTGTCTACTATATCATATCAGCATTGGGGACTTGTTGGTTTTCAGTCTCTCTCCTTGTTATGATCATAGTACGTCACTATCACGCCGATTCGGGCCACAACGTAGGCGGATTTCAGCGTGGAAGAAAAGGTTGCGATGAAGGAGTGCTCCATATTCACTGCCCAAGACTTTTAGAATCCTATCGGAGGTGGACCACGTCGTACCGGTCAGTGAATCAGGCGTTGTTGTAAGTGTAACCTAGAGGATCTCATGGTCCTACTAAACAACGCCTGTGCCGTCATTCTGGCCCCCAGATCCAATTATAGTTGATCATGAAAGTGGGTGTCGCCCAGCGCGGGAGTGCGTGGTGACTGGCGATTCTTCGTCATGGTTTAACTCTCGTAATCTTACCTTAAGACTTCTTGGAGCAGTCTCTTGAGCCATCTAGAGTGTAATCCTTTGTGAGAGGAGACCTATGGCGCTCTTACCAGTGGATTTCGACTCACATCAGATTGTCAACCTTGACGGCATTTCGACAAAGCAATTGTAGTGTGTTTGCCTATCCGTTCTTTAAAAAGCACGCGAGCGTGGCGGGAAAGCTGGCTGATCGTCCTATTTAAATCGCCACTATCATCATACCCTGACGGTCGTATCCTTGTTGAGAGGGATTTCACTCAAGGTCTGGGCCAAGTGAGCACATCACGAGGGTGGTTTTGCTCAGTTGTATGGTTTATTTGGTGGTGGTTGCCCCCGGAGCTGATAAAAAGTCTTCATTTTATCATAGCCTGCCATCGCGTAGCACATCTCTTCACTATGAGGAACAAGTCACAAGGAGGGTTGTCTTTGTATCTCAAGTAAGTAGAGGTACGACTCTAGCCTGGCCGAGTTTATGATCACCGAAACACAAGTCTAAAAAGGGAAGGCAATTTTTGGAGCATTCGAGTATGCAATTCTTACTCTGACCTCGGAAATCGGCACTACCCCTATGAAGACCGGTCGATACTCGGATCAGTGAGGGACCATTCGACCGTGGACCAATAAAAGGCTCTATTGAAGTCATTTTTGAGAGATAACCAGATCTACTTGCTCCTTCCTTGAGGCATACCAACGCAAGTCACCCAAATGGTAGAGTACCAGATATATCCCTGAGTCTTCTCGAATTCGAAAAGCCCAGCAGGTGGTATAAGCCTTCGGCAGCAAACGGGATAACTGTTAGCTTATCTTACGTGATACCATCATTCTCAACCCACTACAAAATAGCCCCTGCCCAGATGCATCATATTGAACTTTCCTTTGATGGTATGATGATTTGCCGAATAACTTTTTCACATCCTGGTGATAGTCTCTAATTCAATGCACATTGCAGTGTTCGAAGTGACGTTAAGGACCAAAACCACCTATGTAGGGTAATCTATCTTGCACGTGTCGGTCAAGAGGACACGCGGGCAATCGTCCTTGCCGTAACCAGGATAGAAAAATGAGAGAGGCACCAGACTACACCTACCAGATGAGAATGCCCATGGCTCATACAAACGGCGCGTCCTTCTCTCCCAACTCGTCATGGTGGCATATCGTCAGAAAAGCGCAACGTAGAAGGTTGTACAAGCCATTAGAATGGCCCTTCCACCCACCTACTTCCACTTCAGGTTAATCAGTGGGCTTGGCAAACTTCTCCCTCCTGTCACATCCTGATGATGTAGTGCAGCATACGATATCACCCACTTCGTTCCGGCCGAAAGGCTGCCCTTCTAATGTATGTACCAACACGCCTACTGCCTACTTACAGCAAGGTTCCTAAGCTCCTCACTCGATTCCAACCGCGAAAGCGAAGCAGGTATGCCTTTGTTGCTGTGCTCACATCAACCCCTCCGAGTGACACACGGTTGATTTCCTCCTCTCTCGTACAACGACGGTGGGCACATGATTCAGATGAAACCACCACACATCAGATCTGACACGGTATTTGAGAAATCTGTCTACATGAGATTGTGATCTTGGTATGCTAACTGGACTTCCAAGGGAGTAGGCACGGCATCGACCACCCGAGAAATATTGTTCAGACGCTTGCGTTCCTGAGCAAAGACGTGCGTAGTCGCGACGAATTACAATACGACTTGTCCAACAAATACGCAGACGGGAAGGAGGATGACGACCGTTGAATCCATCAACGTGTGTCACGATAACTCCCGTCTGATCTTACCTAAAGGACCCTTGTCTCGCCTTACAACAATCGACAGCCCAGGTCGATCTTTTGCCGATCCTCCACCAACCCCGCTGCCGGAGTGTTCTGAGTCGCCGCAGACCATCGAATAGGTCTAGGTTTGGTCTGTATATCATTCATCCCAGACCCTGCTACCAATTGAGGGAATCGGAGGGTCATCGTGGTTCAGCCATGGCTATCATGTCCTCCAACCAGTTGGACGGTGAGTTCGCTCGCAGAAAGCCAAAGTGTACGAATGCATTAGTGTTCGGGCTGGGAGACCCCATTGAGTTGTGCGCATTGTCGATCTCTTGGAGCAGACAAACACTTTTGCGGCGACAAATCACATTGTGCTCATCCAAGGTGGCAGAAGGGTGTTCATGAGAGGACGACGGTGGACGATCATTCCTGCAAACCCCCATTGCTGGTGTTGCGCAGTCGATCAGCTGAAGCCAATAGACCACGGCCAGGCACCATTCCTATCACCACTAAAAGCAACTTGACGATGTCGGCATCCCACGCGGAACCTTGGCGTTCACACAGTACTCTGGTGCTGATTATATGAATGCAACATAGGCTTGGCTCTGAGGCGCATTAGGCGGGCAAACCTTGCCTTGACGACTCATTGACGCCGATTTTGTTGCTGAAAAGGTCATTGGTAGGTGAGACAAGCTTGAGCCTCATTCCTATCCGGATTTGGGTCAGTTCCAGTCATTTAGGATTCACTTTCACCTCTAAATTCCCTCCTTGAACCAAGTCTGTTGCGCAATAAGCCGGATCAGCCGCTGGATCACCGACGAGCAGTAATTTGGGCTTTGCGCACATATTCACCGTCAATATCTCCTCTGCAGCCTGTGGCCTCGTGGTGAAGTTCAGATGGCGTCCTTTTTGGGGTTTATACGTTCCGGACGGCCATTGGCGAAGACACTGGTAGACTCCGGATGCCGAGCATCGGAAACAAAAGGCCGATGTTTCATGGTCTCCTGCAACTCAGTACTCGCAGTGGCGGGGTTGTGCCAGCCACCAGGTCAACATGGATTCCTTGAAGCCAGGCCGGCTGCATCCGTTTCCCCATTTCTTGGGGGCGCCGTAGCAGAAAAGATCATTCTTTATTGTTTTTGATCTCGCAAGTCACGGGACTTTTGTCATTGGCTTACACTCAACTATCAGCACGGAAGAGAGCCGGAGCCCAGCTCAACACAACGTGATTGGCTTTGACCGCAATGGCCAGTCTCTAGGAGAAGACAGTAAGGGCGCATCCCCAACACACAGACCTCGGGTTAAGTCCAGAAACTATGCCGGCGTCGCATAAGCATCCCATCTCTTAGCTGACTACTCCAGCCAGCGAAAATGATCGCCAACCTTTATCTCCACAGACTCTGCCAATGCAATATTGGACAGGTTCAAAGGGCCTTTCCCGGGGTCGCTTGGGAGGATATAGAGCACAGAAGGCAATAGCGGGATAATGCTGGAGATCTCGGCATGGTGTATCGTTATTTCAAGCAAACACCCAAGGCGGACAGAGGGCGGAGAACTCACGATCCCTCGGCTGGGCGCGATGTCGCAACATGCAGTCGCAGCTTGTTCCTGTTAAGTTCAAATAAGGATAACCCTGCATAATCCAGGTACAGGCTCTCCCCGTCCATCGACGCGCATCTCCCGAGGCCCAGGAAGTGTGGTCGTGGGCCAATGCTTCATGCAGCAGGCAGTTGCGTCTTGTAACAATAGTGCTAAGACTGCGTTTCACCCTGGATCGACAATGTTTCCGCACCCACGGATGACCCCCAAGGTTTACTTGAGGCGAAAAGAGTAGGCGCCCTAGATAATGTCTGGGCAGGTCGCTCAAAGGCAAGATAAGTGTGGCCTGAACTCTTTTTCTTTCCTGTTAAACGACGTTGTGGTTGAGCCAGGTCTTTCCGCTTGGCCGTGTTGTTCTTATTCATTCCTTTCTTTCTTTCGATTCTAAACACAGTAGCGACTTACTATCCACTCCTTCAAGATATTTCTTAATAATGTTATCCAAGGCTATTGCCGTCCTGGCGGCGGCGACGTTGACGTCGGCCGCTACGCCCATGGGCTTTATGCCCCAGTCAAACACTCCCCTAATTGTTTCTTACGGAGGCATCTCGGCACTGGATGGCGTGAACCTGCCTAGAGATTGTAAGTTTTCACACGGTCGAGACCAAAGAGCGAGGTCAACCTAACAAGAACCCAATAGCTAGTCAGACGCAACCCACAATTGCGACCGAGCAGCAGCTCAAGGGCCAGTATGCAGTGATAATGGTGGATATCGACGTCCCGACCAACCAACCTCCCAAGACCGGAACTCTCCTCCACTGGATGCAGACCGGTCTAATGTCTGCCGATACCCCGACGACGCTCAACACGACCGCCGGGCCCAAGAAGGTGTTCCTGATGCAAAACAAGATGAACGCAGCCGCTCTGGCGCCGTACATTGGCCCCAACCCGCCCGCGAGAGAGCCTCTCAGCCATAGATACACCTTTGTCGCGGTCGACCACACGATGATTACGCAGCAAGGCCTGATGGCCCTCTCCGGCGCGGCTCAGAGCCGTCGTGACTTCAACGTCATGAACGGCCTCATGGCGGCTGGTCTCTCAGACAAGGTTGTCGCCGGTAACTTCTTCCGCGTTACGAACGCCGGACCCGTTGGTGCTGGTCAAGGAACTGGTGGTGGAGGTAGCCGCGGTAACAGCACCGGTGGCGGAGGCGGTACCATGCAGCCTAAGCCGATGCCGATGCCCGCCCCTGCGCCTCCTGCCGGAACCCCGACTACCCCCGGTGGCGGTGGAATGCCCGGTATGCCCAACATGCCCGGCATGAGCATGGCTCCCGGTATGACGATGCCCATGCCCGGTATGCCGGGTGCTAGCGCGCCCCCTATTGGTGGTGCTCAGCCGTCGAACCCTGCCCGCGCCAGTGGTCTCAGCCTCGCTCCTGGTCTCGGCCTCATGACCATGGGTCTCTGCCTCATCGGTTCCCTGTTCGTCTTCATGTAACCTTTACGGGTCGTTACGGGCACAGAAAGTGATCCAGGTTGGGGAGTTTTTGTTACACTTGCTGAAGAGGCCAGAAGATGTTTTCCTTTCTTTTCCTGGCTGCCGCTATAAGCTGAATGTGGAGGGATGCTAGTCGTATATAGGGTAGAGCAGCATGCCAATACAATAGCTAAGACGCGGCCACATTGCGTTTCGTTCACTTTGTAGTTGTGATTAGCTCGTCTCAGTGATGTCTATGATCCCAGTCCTCCGTACAAACATCCTGGTAATGGTTCGCTCGCTAGCACCACATCCCTACCTGTGGATCGTGGAGCCAAAACAGGCCAACGGTTTTGGCGCAAACTTGGCAAACTTGCATCTCCTACCGATAAACCATCATGACAGCGCAATTGATGGGTCGATATTGCTGACAGCAACAGTGGTGAGAGCCAACTGAGTGCCACGACTCAGCCCCTCGGGACTGTCAAGATCGAGGTCGGAGGGACAGCGTGGCCGGGTCGGGACAAGAACGTAGCCAGCTCGGGATAAGGACCTGGTCGGTCCGGAGGGATTTGGGTCCAGTCCCCGAAATCCTGGCTGAGTGGCCTTCCTCCGCACGGGCCCGGGGGACCGATCATCCCCGTGTCACATGCACAATCATGTGATCTCGTCACGCCCTTCCTTCCCGAGAGGGTCGTCACGACCTGCCATCATATGGATCCTTAGTCATGCCAGCGCCTGCCCTTCGATGTCTTAGTGTCTGCAAAAAAGTCCGCTCCGCACCGCGCGCTCACTCGCACTCTCAAACACAGCTTTCCCTTGCAAGTGTGCTACTCAGTTTTCAATGTCTTTCTTGATCTAGGCCCGTTTCTTGCAGTTGTTCCTTGCAAATAGCGCAAGCGGATGTTTTTCCCCCTTTCAAAGCATTGCATGAGTCACTTACACCTGTTTTTCTCGCGCGCCTAGTCTACAGGTAATAGATTGTAGTCGCCTACCTGACTAATAACTGTATCCGCCCCGAGCGGCTAATCCGTACGATGCGTCTTGTCACAGCCCACAATGATCAATCTAGCACCTGAGGTACCCGTCTAGATCTCTATCTGAGGTGTGGTTCCTTCCGTCTTGGGTATCCGTCCGGGGTTGACGACTTGAGACTTCCGGGAGGCCCTGTCGATGGCTCGGGTGCTCTACAGCGAAACGGAGCAGAAATGTCTCCGAGTTACACCGCGTACTACACCTTGGCGCCCCATTGAACGCAAAAAAACCTAGGCGCAATTGTGAAGTCCGACTTCCCCATCGTCCACAACTTTAACCACGAGTTGATGCATACCAAAGTCCTGCCCCGTTCAATCTTGTATAAAGCATTTCTCGTCGCCACGCTCTGCTCCTTGATACTAGAGGGTTTAGTTTGCCTATCCACCTCAACTCATACATCTTCCCAACGTTTCGAAACGAATCAGAAACCCGGCAGAGCTACATCCTAGCATAACTGCAAGGGGGGTCAGAAACCCTTAATACAACCTACCGCTGTTTGCAAGCTACCTTACCAAGCTCCCGAAGCTATAGAAGCTTCGTAACGCAACATCCCCCCATCTTGCCTCGCACACCAACATACCGCAAGTCTCAACAGCCACGCGATAATGCCTACCCTCGTCGTTCTTGGTGCTGGCCTTGCCGGCCTGCCCATTGCACACCATGCCTTGAAGCATACAGTGCCGCTGGTCAAGGACCTGAAGGTCATATTGGTGACGCCTAACTCTGAGCAGTAAGTTCCCATACTTGGTGGCGTAGCACGCACATACACACGCACTATGCAAGACGTCATCCACTTACACCCAAGCTTCACAGCTACTGGAACCTCGCTTCCGTCCGCGGCGTTGTGCCTGGCCAATTTGGCGACGACGTGCTCTTCCATCCCATTGAGCCGTCATTTGCAAAGTACCCCAAGGAAAGCTACGAGGTCATTATCGGTAAGGCCGAGCAGCTCAACGACGACAAGAACACCGTCGACGTAGTGGTCAACGACGGCAGCCGCAGGTCCATCGCCTACGACGCCGTCGTCATCGCGACCGGCACCCGCGCGAAGGAGAGCATGCCGTGGAAGGAGGTCGGCACGACGGAGGAGACCAAGAAGGCGCTCGGCGACATCCGCCGGCAGCTCTCCGACGCAAAGAGCATCGTCGTCGCCGGCGGCGGCGTTACGGGCACCGAGACGGTGGGCGAGATCGGCTTCGAGTACTCGCAGAAGCGCAGCAAGGAAGTCTACTTTATCTACAACGACGAGCTGCCCCTCGGCCCTCCCTTCACCGACAGCGTGCGCAAGGCGGCGCTCAATGAGCTGCAGAAGCTCAATATCAAGACGATCCACAACACCAAGGTCACGAGCGTGAAGACCGAGGCCAACGGCCAAAAGACGCTCGAGCTCACGGACAAGAGCGGCAAGAAGACAACGCTCCAAACGGACGCGTACCTGCCGACCGTCGGCGCCATCCCCAACACCGCTTTCTTGCCGTCCAACATGCTCGACCCGCCCGGGTACGTCAAGCAGGACAAGAGCCTACGCGCGGTCGGCCACGACAACATCTTTGTGGTGGGCGACGTCGGCAACCTCGAGGGCGGGTACGGGCGGCTGGCGGACCTGCAGGTGCAGCACGTGGTGAAGAGTATCCAGGCTCACTTCACGGGCGCGCCCAGGCCGGCGCCGTACGTCGTCGACCCCAAGGTCGTGGCCGGCATCACGCTTGGACGGAGCAGGGCTACCGGCCAGATGGGAACGTGGAGGTTGCCCAGCATCATCATCTGGGCGTTCAAGGGCCGGTATATCGGCACTGACTACGCCAAGGATTACGCAGCGGGATCAAGAACCATGACGGTCACCAAGAACTGGTAGAGAGAGAGAGAGAGAGGCATGAGAACCGGCTAATGGTAGATGCATATTTTGGTGTTCAGGCGCTTGTGATCATGGAAGGGGGGAAAGCACTTCGTAATGTAGGGCTGGCAGGCTACTTGAGCGAGTCGAGCTTGCGGAGTCTAACAATCTTGGCTTTTGATGTTTTCGGTGTCATTCCGCGTGGCAATGGAGTTTCCTGGTTTCTCTGGTATGATGGTATTCCTCGATTGGTTAGACTAGACGGGATTGAATGATAATCTTATTCCTGAGCATGCGTGATCAACGTGGTGATGGTAACACCGGAACGGTGAAGGTTAGGTTGAAGGGCGCGGTCCACACAACACAAGTGGACACTGTGGATTTGGCAGAAATCTCCGCAGTGTCGTACAGTGCTGACGAACAGTGAGAGAGATGAGTCTTGCACGGTAAGACTGATGGGTCGGGTCCCCAGAACGGCCTAGCGCCGAATTCCAGCAGCTTCAAAAGGGCGGCTCGCTGCGAAAATTCTTTCTCTCTTTCTTCTTCTTTTTCTTTTCCTTAGATCAAAAAGTAACCCAGAGCTGCCACGACCTACACCCAGTCTTTTCTCACGGTGTCGCGTTGCCTTTTCCTCTCTTCGGAGTTGGATCGCTCTGCAGATTAAAATTCCCTGGATTATAGGAAGTCTCTCCCCAGGCCCATTTCACGGGCGGTGGGTGAGGGATGCTGTTGATGGGGGACATGCCATATTCTCAAAACTGGCATGGGTTGTAAATTCTTGTCCGCGCTTGGTGCTCACCACGATCGTCGAAAGAAAACCCGACGCTATCTTTGAAATAGTGAGACCTGTGGTGCCAGGAACCCGGATAGCCGCTCACTGCCTCCTAGCCGTGGACTTGATTTCCGTTTGCGAATGGAAGAGATATGACGGTTTGGAGGAAAGTGCCGACTCTCTGACCTTCGCTCCTACGTTGGGTAGCCAGGAACGGCGCCGGCAAGTGATGCAAGAATGCCCTGAGCCTCATCCCCTGTCTACCTAAGTTGACGCCATGCTGATGGGCTAGACTGGATTGATGCCATGATTGCCATTCCCTACGTGCCGTAACTGGATTCAAACTTTGTCTGAAAGTGGTGGAAGGCAGAGAGCATGCCAACGACACCTCTCGTCATTTTGGAGGAAAGGAAGGTGCAGTCAGCATGGCCTGCACTCCGTACCTTACCTAAGATACTCCTCAGCGAACCATGAAGAGAAGAAAGGTGGATCCTCTAGTGTAGGAGTTCCTGCCGTAAGGGAGCCTCCGTCCCTCCAGGTTCCTTCCATTCCCAGTGCTGTTGCCGTGAGGGTCGATCGAAATCCCGAAAGGACGAGACACAGCCGTGAGAGCCTCAGGTACAAGGGAGAAAGACCCAGGCACGAGAAAACAGCGGTTTGGGTTCTAGACTGTTAGTCCCGAATTTTCACGTGTCTTGGTTTCTGAAGACAAGTCGACAGACGGTTGAAAGCGTTCCCATAGGCCCTCTTTCTCGCGCTCTCTCTCCCCCTCATCCACTCTTTTCCTTCCGTTGAGGTGTAACCATGCCACATGTCTTAGGCCCTGGCTGCATTCTTGGCCATGCTCTCCGAGCAATGCTGCTGCGCGTCAACGCCCCGGCACCCGTCTGAGTCTCTGATCCCGGCAAACACAATATGTGCCCTTGCCTCTTTTCGTCTGTCGTCGTTGCCAAGCGGGTGATAGTATCCCCACCTCTAGCAATCAAGCAACACCAAGGAATTGGAAGATGGTTATCCTCAATCCGACTTCTCGGATCAGCCGCACCACCTCTAGCATCCACTCCGGCCCTCAAAGGTGGATATTACCGCATGCTTTGCCTCTCGCGCAGGATGGAAAGGACATGTCTGATGTCAACGGCTCCTACCAAGGGGACCATCGTCGTCCGGACCCGGGCACTGAGGAATGTACCGCAATGTCCCGGCATTCCCACCAAGATGCTTGCTTTCATACTCCGTACAGCCAGTCGAGGAGGGACAACGTACCCAGGGGCCCGTCAGGCCAGTGAGTGTTCCAGCTAATCCCCTTCTTGGTTCTTGGCTCGTTCTTTTGCCGCGCTCCTGACAGTTGCTGATCTCTCCCTATAAGACGAAGAGGCCGGCCGTGATGAAGGAAACTCTTGGATTAGCCCTTTCGTTCCCCAGTTCTCTCTCTCCTCCCCCCCGTCCCCCGGTCTTCCCCCCCCAGAAGAACTCCCGCTTCACCCAGTCATTCGTTGGACTCTGTCCCCTCACATTCGTTCCATAATTCCAGGATAACCTGTCTGTCGCTCGTTCCGTACAGCTCAATCTAATCCCTCGCTCGCCCATACAACTAATTTCAAACCCTCAAACCACATACACCTAATCAACTCTTCCCCCAAGCTAGTACTAAACAACAGTCAAGATGAGGTGAGAACAGTATCCCCTTCTCGATACAGCACCATCGCCTCTCGTATAAAACAGACTTACTGATACAACCTTCAGTTCCGGAGCCCTCACCACCTCGGCCTTCTTCACCTGCGACCCGGCAGTCACGGTCACCGCCACCGCAACCACCAATGTCTACACCACCGTGTACACGACAACGGCTCTCGCCGCCAACCCTTCCACGTCGTGGATGGCCACTTACACAGTGACCGAAGTCTGCACTGGCCAGCCGTGGGAGTACGTGACCAAGGACATCCCCCCTTGCTTCGCCCCCACCACCGTCTACTGCGAGCCCTGCGCCCAAAAGACCATCCCCATCATCTGCCCCATCCCGACGCCCACCGCCGACGTCGTTATCAACGGCAACGGTGTCACCATGAACGCCAACCCCGTCATCACCGCCGCCCCCTACGGCGTGTACGGCTCCTACGGCTCCTACAGCAACGGGAACGGCCAGGGTACCGGCAACGGAGGCGGAGCCAACAACAACAACAACAACAACAACAACAACGGAGGCGGCCAGAACGGCGGTGGCTCCAACAACGGTGGCTCCACCCCTGGTGGCGGTGCTGGAGGTAACGGCGGTGGCGCCAACGGCGCTGCTCCGTCTGGCAGCCAGGGCGCCGGAAGCTACGGTGTCTACGGCAGCTACGGCTCTTACAACAACGCTGCCCCTGGTGGCGGCTCTCCTGCCCAGCCCGGTCAGTCCGGTGCCCCTGGCGCTGGTGGTGCTCCTGGCGCTTCCGGAGCTCCTGGTGCCGGCGGTGCCCCCGGTGCGTCTGGCGCTCCCGGTGCCGGTGGTGCACCCGGTGGAACTCCCGCTCAGTCTGGTGCTCCTGGTGCCCCTGGCGCATCTGGTGCTCCCGGGACCGGCGGCTCTTCCGGCGGCTCTTCCGGTGGTGCTGGAGGTGCTGGAGGTGCTCCCGGTGCGTCTGGCGCTGGCGGCTCTGGTGGCGGTGCCTCTGGCTCAACCGCCACGGGTGGTGCTTCCGGCTCCAAGCCGTCCACAGTCCAGGTCGCCTCGGCACCGTCTCTCAAGCAGAGCCTCGGCCTCCTTTGCGGTATCGCAATGGCTGCCGGCCTTACCATCTTTGCTTAAGACGACCACTACTCTCTAGTCTTCTGATTCTCATTCATGGCATCTCCCCATTCACAAACGCCGTGTGCTCGCGTCCCCAAAGATCAAAAGAGGAGGGAAAAAGGAAAAAGAAGGTGGTTTCACGGAGAAAGGGGTTCAAAATAGAAATACGGGTATTTTGATCCTTGTTCCTGTGTAAATCCCTTTTTGGCTATAATCCCCGGGAGTTTTCCTCGATTTCTCTCATACATGAAAGAAAGTTGTCATTTTGTTTTACTAATTGGCGGCATTTGTGGGCTACTGCTGCCCACAGCGGAGTTGACATAGGTGGACAAAGGACCCTAAGGTGTTGCGATATTATTTTGAATCAATAACGTTGCTTGTTGTGTTTTTTAGATTGAAGTACGAATACAGGTTTTTCCTTTTGGGTGTTTTGCTATGATCCCCTTTTCTCTCTCTCGCTTGATGTGGTGAAGTTGAATGCTAGGTAGTTGGATCCCCCACGCTTTGATCACCGCCAAGCCCGTTGACAGAATCACGCTATGGGATGACGTTGCGAGGGGTAAAAGTGTGGTACGACAAGAGAAGGCGAGTGCCAATTTCAAGCCAGTTTTCATTTCGTCGTGAAGGCTTCCGTAAAAAAAAAAACCAAAAAAAACCGAGAATGATTGAGATACCAAAGAAAAACGCCGCCCAATTTCAATCAAAAGGCTTGTGTGTATCCAGGCTTTCTTTAGTGGTGCTTTCCTCTTGCTTTGGGTCTCTGCCACAGGCGTTGTTTTTTGGTCGCGCTTTGTTTTCTCATTGAAGAATGCCGTCTTCTCCCTTGCTACGGTGCTGCTGGCGGATGAATTCCTCCACCTGGACGTCGTCGTACGGCCGTTCGGGTGGTCCCGGAATTCCTGGACGCGAAATCTTTTCCTCCTTTTCCTCCTGCGGGTTACCGAGGATCTTGGCGGCGGCTGGAATGTACTGTGTCACTTTTTTTTGTGGAAATTGGTCCATGATGAGCTACACGTATTCTCGACAAATTGGATGGAGGAAACACCAAGGGGGGGGACTGAAGTGGCTAGGACGGAGCTGGGCTGGGCTGGATGGTGAGGGTTATGCGGTGGAAATTGTAGAGGTTATTGGAACTGCTGTGATGTGATTTGACATGATTGCAAAGGCGGGACGGGTGTGATGCTTTACCAACCTTTTTCGACAATAGGGTTCTGCTTGGGCTCTTCTTCGGATTTACGGGCGTCGTGGGCCGCTTGATCCAGCTTCTGCTTGAAGCTCAACTCGCGGCCTTTGTGCGTGATCTGAGGCTCAGGCGCGAACTTGCTGTTGGGTTCGGCGGACATGATGGGTGGCTGTGCTGAGACTTAGTTGATTGGTGTCGGGTGATAGGTGGGAAGGGGATTCGGATGCGATGATGGTGTGGTCGTCAACGTGGTAGGGCTGAGACGGTGGATCGATGTGCGATATCAGATGGGCCGCGGAGGAGAGAGACGATAGTGACAGTAGGGCGATAGTATTGAATAAGGGTACTGAGTTTCTTGTGAAGTCAAATTGAGTTTCTCGAGTGTGGCGGAGCAACAGGCATTGATAGACTAGAATGTGAGATGGAAGGAGAAAATAGCCCGACAGGGCTGGGGGAGCTGGGGAAGGGGGTTACTTCAAGTAATACGGTAAGGTCGGCCAGGATCCAAACGTGGCATACGGTTTTGCGCGGGCTGAGGTGTAGGTATGGGGCCGCTGGGGTAGACTGGGCTGGACCTGAACGCAGCAAAGCAAGGACTTGGCCGAGGGAGGGGACAGACGGTGACCGCGCGTCCCAGCTCCAGGCTATGATCGCATAAGTCTGGGCGGGGGACAGGACCTTTTCCTCCAGGTTTTCGTTGGAGAATTGGTGCGATTCAAGTCGATTTTTCGGGGAGGACGGCTGATCTGGTGCCTGCCGTGCTTGCCATGGTTTGCTTGGGTGCTGTCGATGTGATGCAGGAAAGATGGTGTGAGCCACCCGCAAACTGGGGCCAATGACGTCAAACCGCCTAGCTCGGCACTGTAGTTCCCTTGGCTGCCCGCTAAGATAACCTTAAAATCCCCAGTCGAAAACACTGCTTATCGGCTCTTATCGGACACAGGCTTCTTATCGGACTATCCGGGCGCTCTGCGACCCCTCCATCCCACCACCACGCGACAACCCGCTCCCGAGCGGCGGCGCCATTTTCCTCAACCCAAAAAAAAACCTGAGCGGTGATCTGATGTAGGCAATACAGACATCAAATACCAAAAGCTTATCGGCTGTAATTCTCCCAGCTGTTCTGTGCACAGTTCTTCGATTTTTGTAGAATTTACCGACACCCGCGTGCGCGCACTTTGAGAGTTTTTCTTCTTTTGCCAATCATGGCCCCCATTCCAATTACAATCATCACCGGTTTCCTCGGCTCCGGCAAGACGACGCTCATCCTCAATCTCCTCCCCCAGCTCAAGGCCGCGAATCCGTCCTACAAGCTCGCCCTCCTCAAGAACGAATTCGGCGACCTGGCCGTCGACTCCCAGCTGGCCTCCTCCAGCGCCATCTCGGGCGTCCAGGAACTCCTCAACGGCTGCATCTGCTGCAACCTCGTCGGCCAGCTCAGCGTCGCCCTCGCCGAGCTGCACGCCACCATCCGCCCGGACCGCATCGTCATCGAGACGAGCGGCTCGGCTTTTCCCGCGACGCTGGCTCTCGAGGTCAACCGCCTCGCGCGCGAGACGGGCAACTACACCCTCGACGGCGTCATCAGCGTCATTGACACGGAGAACTGGAAGGGCTACGAGGATACGAGCTACACGGCGCGCATCCAGGCAAAGTACACCGACTTGATCGTCTTCAACAAGTGGGAGCTGTGCTCCGAGGACCGCTTCGACGAGGTCCTCGACCGGGTGGGTGACCTCGAGGTGGATATCCCCTGGGTTAAGAGCAAGAAGGGCTGGGTCGGCGCTGACCTTGTGTTTGGCGTGGATGGCGGTCTCGCGCAGGGCCTCAAGGAAGAGCACACGCACGATCACGATCACAAGGGAGAGGACCACGCGCACGACCATCAGACAGAGGTTGAGGTACTCTCAATCGAACTCAAAGGCCCCAAGAACGCCGCTGTCAACGTAGACAGCCTGCAGAAGCTCTTGCGCGCCGCGCCAAAGGACGAAGTATATCGCATAAAGGCCGTCCTGACCGCGTCGTCGACGGTGAGGGACTCGGACGAGGACTCTCAAATTCCCACGCCGCCGCACCCAAAATCTCGGTACATTCTCAATTGGGCCTTTGGTCGGTGGACTTTCACGCCCATTGCAGAAGGCGGCGCCGAGCATGCTTCCAGTGAAGGGACCTTGCTGCGAATGACGATGGTTTTGGGGCGGTACGAGAGTGGCAAGTGGAAGAAGAAGCTCGAGACTGGATCATTTCTAGAAGTTGAGGGCGGCGAGGGCGAGTTGATCGTTACAAAGATCGCATGAAAAAAATGAGTAGACGAAAAGATGATAGAGATACATACTTACACGACATAAAAGGCGCATATGGGGAGTTTCAAAGTGGTACTTTGAGGCATTGCAATACGCAACGAGCAGAAAGCAGGAGTTAGTTGAGAGCGTAGAATTTAGATCAACCACCGCACTTGATTGTGCTATGGAAGTCGCAAAGTCTCAAAGTTTTAAGTAGGCCTCTGAGTTGCCAGCCCGTTCCTTGAAGTATCAGTGCGGATGTCTCAATGCGAATGTTGACGTATACCCAAGACGGCCTCAACAC